CACTGCCACACTCTCATTTAATAACGAAAACATCCAGTCCAGTGTAAAAATCTTCGCTTAAAGCTGAGCATCTCTCCTCCCTCAGCTCAGGGCGGCGGAGGCTGGATGCCGGCAGGGCTGGGTGCCGTTGACCTCTCTGTTTCCTGGCTTGCCCTACCCCACTCTCACCCTAGGCTCTCAGGCTCCTCTGGTTTGGAGCTGGGGGTGGAAGAGGAGTTGGGGTGGGACAGGAGCCACTTGACTGATGCCTCGGAGACCTGGCCTGAGCCTCTTCAGCCTGGGCAGACACTGATGCAAAACGGACCCTCTCTTCTGGGGGTTCTTTCTCAGGGGTTTTCCTAAACAGGGAACCTCCAACCAGACTTACCAAGAAACGGGCAGTGCCTCTCCTCCAGGCAGCTTACGACTGCCTGTCAGCCTTGGGCATCCAGGGGCCACTTCTGCCTGGGAGCTAGGCCCCTTCAAGTGCTCCTCCGGGGCAGAACCTAAAACCCTCCCACCAACTCCCTTGTGTCCCACCCTCTCCCCACCAAAGATCAGTGACTGGAAATGGGAGGTCTGGTCACTGGCTTTTCCTAGTCATTTACAGAACAAGAACAATGGAGAGAGAGTGATACTATAAGCAGCAGAATTGCAAACAGGCAGTGTGACTCAGTCTCGGGGCTTAACTTCTCCCTTGGCATAATACATTTAGAGGGTCCTGAACTTTTATTTTCTTTTGCAATATAAATAGTGTCATACTGTATCATTCCAAAAGTTGCTCCCCCATCATTGTTTTAAGTGATTTATTCATGTTGCTACAAGTGAATCTGCTTCTTTAATTTTAACGCTTCACAATATTTCTTGATATTGATATAGCACCATTTACTTACCCATATTCTTGGAAGAAGTCTTTCTAACTAACACTTTCTTTTATTATAACTACTATTATTTTTATTATACTGATATAGAGGAAAACTTCAAACAACCACAAAAATAGAATAATGAACCACTATGTATCCAACCTCAAAAATTTTTAACACCTCATTGCCAATCTAGTTTCATTGGTATCTCCATCTACTGGTTTATTTTGAAGCAAACACCACAAAACACAACATTACATTTATTAAGAGTTCAATATATACCTCTAAAACATATGGATTCTTTAAAAAAAACCCATAATACCATAAAAATAGCTAAAAATTTATCAACTGTGCATTATAATTATCAAAATCCAATCAGCATTCAAATTTTCAGTCTCATAAATATAAATTTTTAAGTAGTTTGAATCTATTCAAATAATGTTTACTCCTTGAGATGGACTGATTTGTCTCTTAAATATCTTTTAAGGTTCTCCCTCCCTCCCTCTCTTCCTGTGTCTCTATTAAAATTTTTTTCTTGTAGTTTATTTCTTGAAGAAACTGAATTGTTTATCCTGCGGAATTTCCCAGAATCTGAATGTTGCTGATCTCGTTCCCATGGTGTCATTTAGCATGTTCTTCTATCCCCTGTTTTCCCTGCATATTTGTAGTTAGATCTAGAGGTCAGAGGTCACCCTCATTCTAAAATAATTTAGTTGAGTATAGAACTCTATATTAGTGGTTATTTTCTCCCAGCACTTTGAAGATATTATTCTGTTGTCTTTAGACTTTGGTTATTGCTATTGAGAAGTCTGAGGTCATTCTATTCTCACTCTGTAGGCAATTTACCATTTCCTTCTTGTTGCCCTTGCTCTTGGTCTTGAAGTTCTCTTATTTCATTAATTTGATTTATTTCACTTACAGCTCATAAAAAAACCTCCCTGAATTAGAAGATGCATGC